GGGGGCATCTATTCTCTTTCTCTTTTGGTTCCTGAGTGCCAGGTAGCAGGGAAACGTTAAGAGCCAGGTTGGACCCATGGGAAAGAAAAAAACCAAGTGGCCACAGGGAACCCAAGTTTTGAGAGAAATAAACTTTCACAATAAGCCACTTGCTAAATGGAAGAAAATGTTAGGCTAGAAGAAATTTTCTGTTCATCGCCCTACTGTCTCTGCAAATCATGTCTGACTCATAATGTCAGAGGAAGCGCTAGTTCACGTTTGTGGAATGTGGCAGCCAGGACAGCTCCTCTTTCTGAGGAAATGACTGATTTCTCTCTGTGCTCAGTCCCTTTGTGGATGTTCCTCTCCTCTTGTCAACTTGTATTTCACTGTTTTCCCTTTAAGCACATTGGAAAGGTTAGTATCCCTTGTGCTATTAAGGTGTGGAGTATACACCGTCTTAGATCAGTTTGGAGGACTTTTTACTTTCAGGCAATTTAAAGCTGACATCTTCCCATTGAGTCAGTCATTTTCTCAGGGAAGCTTTCATCATTTGCACCTGGAAAGCAGTTAACACTGAACTGAGGTCTCTGCTTAAAAGTCCACACATGTTGCCTCATTAAGAGATATTTGCATTTGTGCATGGTTGGATCTGTAAATGATATTAAAGAAGTAAGAACACAAAACCTAAAACAAACTCTTTAATGAAGCTGGAGTGAGGCATCCAGATGAGAATTCTCATAATTTTGCAAGTGTCACAAATTCTTGGAAATTCCACAAAACAATCTGAATAAATGGACCTCAATAGGCCCTGAAGCAAACATCTAAGGCCTAAGTTATGGTTGACAGGTCATGAGGAGGCAGCTGGGTTGGTGTTACTAGTGCTCTCCAACATGTCTGAAGGCCTTATCACCATATTTGAACATTGGGTCTATTTTTTCCCAACATAATTTTTAGAAACATCCCTAGAAAATGTCTATTGTATATGATCACTCAGGCTCCTAGATGTGACTTTGTGGCCAACCAACAGGGCCAGACCATGAGTGGCCAGCCCTTGCTTAAAGGCACGGGTCCTACCGAATGAATGACCTGCTTTGGTTTTTAGATTAAATGAATCTTCATTTTAATATGAATAGCAAAACAAGCCACTAAACTTCCTGGCGTTTCTTCTTACCAGAGAAGTTGAACCATACACTTTCTTCCCCAATTCTTTTTTTTAAATTTTTTTTTTTTTTTTATTTTTGACAGGCAGAGTTAGACAGTGAGAGAGAGAGGGAGAGAAAGGACTTTCTTCCGTTGGTTCACTCCCCAAATGGCCGCTATGGCCGGCGCTGTGCCCATCCAAAGCCAGGAGCCAGGTGCTTCCTCCTGGTCTCCCATGCGGGTGCAGGGCCCAAGCACTTGGGCCATCCTCCACTGCCTTCCTGGGCCACAGCAGAGAGCTGGACTGGAAGAGGAGCAACCGGGACAGAACCAGCACCCCACCCAGGACTAGAACCTTGAGTGCCGGCGCCGCAGGCAGAGGATTAGCCTAGTGAGCTGCGGCGCTGGCCATCTCCCCCAATTCTTCAGGCCCACTCCCTCTCAGAGCCTCGCCCCATCAAGCCCTCACATCCTTCTAGGGTCAAGGGCATGATGCTAAACCAGGTGAGGGTTAGAGACGGAGTGTGGCCCAGTGATGGAGTGCAACATCAGGACAAGGAGATGATGCTTACATTACCTAGTAACAAAATATAGAATGACTGCTGCAAAAATAGCTTGCTGATAAAAAGCAGCATTTGTACATTTTTGGATACAGAACTGCAGTCATTAAATGAGCAACATTAAGACGTTCTGCTTCTTGTCAAGCAACCTGAGGGGCAAATCAGCTTTTGGAATCAGTGCTTTATGAGACAGTATCCAGGCAATATCCTCTTCCCATGCTACCCTCTGTGGGGGTTTTAGCAGGCCAGTAAAAAAATATACCTCTTTCCTCTCAAAAAATCGGAATGGATGGAAACAAAGACATTTCAGGTTTGTTTTTTTTACTAATAAAAGCTAGTTTGGGGGCTATGAATTTGATAATCAGCCACAGTGGTTTTTCTATCTCATGACTGAGTGAATCAGACTTACCCAACCAGGCACTGGTGGACCTGGACAACTTGTATCCATCTCTAGGGAGGCGAGAGTGGCTCACCCTATGGCAGAGTAGGAAACAAGCTTGAACTAAGGACAGACTGCTCCAAAAAAGTATCATATCATGCTGACATGAATTGAAAGAAATCAGGACTAGCCGTATTTTAGCAAAATATATTTCAGATCAAGGATTCTCACTGGTGGTACAGGGGCCACTTCATCAAGAAGATTTAACAATCCTAAACCTTTGTGCACCTAACAACAGCAGACTGAAAAATCAGTAAAGATATAAAAAAGGGGTCAGTAAGCTATAGCCTTTGGTCCAAATCCAACTGATTGTGAGTCAAATACAACTACATGCAATGTGGATTGTCTACACCCATTTGTGAATTGCCCAGACTTTAGTATTTGTGACAAAGGATGTATAATCCACAGATCTAAAAATATTTATTATGTGGCTCTTTACAAAAGCTTTTTCAGAGCCCTAGACCCCTAATTTTTAAGATTTGACACCATTATCAATCAACTTAATGTATCTGACATTTATAGAACACTCGACTATCGTTTAGATATGGTGTGGGTGCCCGCCAAGGTGTCATGTATTGACATTTTTTTGAAAGATTTATTTATTTGTTTAAAAGAGTTGGGGCTAGCACTGTGGCATAGCAGGTTAAGCCATATGCATTCCATATGGTGCTGGTTCAATTCCCAGCTACTCTACTTCAGATCCAGCTCCTTGCTAATATGCCTGGGAAAGTAGCAGAAGATGTCCCAAGTGCTTGGGCCCCTGAACCCACCTGGGAGAACCAGAAGAAGCTCCTGGATTTGGCCTGTCTGAGACCTGATTGATGCAGCCATCTGGGGAGGGAACCAGTGAATAGAAGACCTCTCTCTGTCTCTCCTTTTTCTGTCTCGTCTCTTCTTGTCTCTTCTCTCTCTCCTCTCCTTCCCTCCCTCTCTCCTTCTCTGTGTGTGTGTGTGTGTGTGTGTGTGTGTAAAACTCTGCATTTCAAATAAATAAAACCTTTAAAAAATGAGTGAGAGAGGGAGACACACACACACACACAGAGAGAGAGAGAGAGAGAGAGAGAGAAGGAGAGAAGGAGGGAAGGAGGGAGACAGATGGAGAGAGCTTCCATCTGCTAGTTCGCCCCCCAGATGGCTACAATGGCTGAGGCTGGGCCAGACAAAAGCCAGGAGCCTGGAATTACATCTGGATCTCCCTCCTGGGCAGGGACCCAAGTACTTGGGTCATCTCCTGCTGCTTTCCCAGGCACATTAGACAGGAGTTGGATCAGAAGAGGCATAACCAGGATTCAAGCCATATAGGATGCTGGCATCACAGGTGGCAGCTTAATCCACTGTGCCACAATGCCAGCCCCTGTGTGCTGAAATTTAATACCCATTATGAAACATTCAAGAGTACAAATGATATAACCGTGCTGTGTAGAGGGGGAGACTTTGAGCGTAATTAAGTTTAGGAAGATTATTAGGGCAGAGTCCCTATGGCTGTATCCTGATAACTTCATAATAAGAGAGACATACAGACATATACACATGTACTCCCCTGTCTCTTGCCATGTGATACCCTATGCCATCTTGGGACTTTACCACCAAGAAGGCCATCACCTGATGCACCCCCTTGACCTTGCATCTCCAGAATCATGAGCCAAAATAAACTTCTTTCCTTTATAAAGTAGCTTGCCTCAAGTATTTTGTTATAGTAACAAAAAGCTGACTAATACACACTCCTTGATATAGAAGAACACACATTCTCAAGTGCATGATACATTTATCATGATAGACCATATTTGGGCTATAAGACAGGTCTCAATAAATTTTAAATGATTTAACTATACAAAATTTGTCTTCTGACCATAATGGAATTAAATTAGAAATCAATATCAGAAATACTTCTGGGAAACACCCAAATATTTGAACTAAAGAATATACTTCAGCCATCTCATGAGTCATAGAAGAAATCAAAAGAAAAATAAATTATTTTGAATTTTATACAAATAAAAACACAGCAAAATTTATAAGCTATTGCTAACACAACACAGAAAAGGAAGTTTTTACTCAAAATGCCTGTATTAGAAATGTTTAAAAGCCTTAAATCAATGACTTCAGCATTCACATTAAAGAACAAGGAACAAAAAGAACAAATTGAGCCTAATTAAGCCTAAGGAAGAAATACTCCAGCTTCCTTAGGAGTAGGAGTTGACTCTAAAATACAACACAAAGACTGCAGAATGGCCAAGATAGTTTTGAAAAAGAACAACATAGCTGACTAATTTCAAGACTTACTAAAAAGTTACAGTAATCCAGTGTGGTATTGGCATAAAGATAGACATATCAGCAGAATAGACTAGAAAGTCCAAAAATAGGCCCATACATGTAGGGACTTCAGACTTTTGATAGATTTTTAGAATGAATTCAGTGGAGAAAGGATAATGTTGTCTATTATCAATCAATATTATCTATTTCATTTAACTCTCATAACAACTTTAGGAGCTAGAATTTGTTATAATACCTATTTTCAGATGAAGAAATTGAGGCCAAACTAACTTGCCTAATATTTTAAACTAATAAGTAGTAGAACTAGGATATAAACTCAGTTTAATTCCAGAGTGAAGGCTTTTAACCGCTTCACTATACTTCATAATGTACTTCCCAGGAACACAAAACACCAGGTACCACAACTTTGAATGAGGTAGAGGAAATCATTATTAAGAAATTTGATCATTTTATTCAAAAATTAACAATTAAAACTTGCATAAATAAATTATTTGAAATTGCAGAAAGGAAGATGTAAAAATAGCTTTCAATACTCACTCTGGAAGCACCCATGTACTTCAACCATTCATTCAATGAATACTTACTGAGTGTTAAGTATAAGATATGCTCTCTACTCACCAAGTGTTTACATACTGACAGTTGACAAGTTACCATCAGCTCATTGTTGTTCTCTATTAGAAACAAAACATTAAGAATAGTGCAGGCTACCTCATGCACTTTCAAGTAATAAAACAGTATTAATTTACTTAAAAAAAATCTTCTATGTACTTTACAGCCTGTGACTGGCTTTCTCCCACTCACTCCCTTTTGAAATATCACTATATGAAGAGTTAAACAGTTCATAGAAAAATGAAATTAAAGTTTACAGTGTTAAAAAATTTTTTAAATCTATGCATAGTTTTTTTTTTTTTTTTACAGAATCTTGTTTTTAAAAGATTAATTTATTTATTTGAAAGTCAGAGTTACACAGAGAAAGAGAGCCAGAGAGAGAGTCTTCCATCCACTGGTTCACTCCCCAATTGGCTGCAATGGCCAGAGCTGTGCTTATCTGAAGCCAGGAGCCAGGAGCTCCTTCCAGGTTTCCCATGAGGGTGCAGGGGCTCAAGAACTTGGGCCATATTCTACTGCTTTCCCAGGTCATCACAGAGAGCTGGATTTGAGGTAGAACAGCTAGGACTCGAACCAGCGCCCATATGGGATGCTGGCACTGCAGGCAGCGGCTCTACCTGATACACCACAGTGCTGCCCGCCCCCGCCCCCCAGCATAGTTTATTTTTTTTTAAAACACATTTTCCATGGTGAACTTACTGAAGGACACTCATACAAAATTGTATAAAATTTACTTTAATATAATAAAACATAATTCTAGTTAAGCCACAAGAAAAATCTTTCCATCCAAATTGACTTTTATCACAGCTCTCTGTGTAGCAGAAAAGTATATGCATTTTAAATTTAGCATGTAAAAATCAAAGCTTTATGTCTTGAAAGGAAGCATATTTTATAAAATAAACATTTAAAATCCACTAGCCACTCAATTTAACTCTATAAAATCTCATTGCATAGGTGTATACAGTACTGTACAATGGAAACATTCTTAACAAAACTACTTAACTCACCAGATTAACCAATATTCTCCACTGCCTCTACAAAATACACTCAGTGACAAGCAAAACATGTTGTATACTTGCAATCATAAACAAATCTGCAGCATGCACTTCCAATTCAGTTGTCTGCCTACCAAGAGTCAATTGCACTTGTTTCCAAATCTATTTATGCTGGTTCTCTGTGTTCCTTTACTTACATAATTTAATCAAGTTATTATACAAGCCAATATAAGTGCAATATGAGGGCAAGAAGAGAATTGCTTCTACAAAAACTTAGTTGAATGTTTGAATTGCCTCTGAATCTAGTGTGGGTAGGATAAGTGTAAAATTTTCTAAGTTTTTCACAAAATTATAGATTCTGGAAGAATTCTTTATTCTTCAGACAACTCTGTAAATGTCTTTAAATCCCTAAAGAACCTCCTTTAAGGATAATGATATTTGAAAAAGTATATGCAGTATTTTAAGTGTGGTTTATGCAAGAAAGATGACAAGAAACTTTTCTTAGGCAAAGATGCACAGGAAATAAAAGGCCTGAAGAAAGGACTGGCTAAAGAGAGTATCTTTATACATTTTAAGTTTAAATAAAATAGTGGAAGTATGTGCACATATAATTATTTCCCTTCACTCTAGCTTGCTTTTGCTCAGCTCTATAGAGGTATAACTGAAAAATAAAAATTTCACACATTCAAGTTGTACAACATAGTGGGTTTTTTTTTTTTAAAGATTTTTTATTTATTCATTTGAGAGGTAGAGTTATAGACAGTGAGAGGAAGAGACAGAGAGAGAGGTCTTCCTTCCATTGGTTCACTCCCCAAATGGCTGCCACAGCTAGAGCTTGCTGATCTGAAGCCAGGAGCTTCTTCCAGGTCTCCCATGCAGGTGCAGGGGCTCAAGAATTTGGGCCATCTTCTACTGCTTTCCCAGGCCATAACAGAGAGCTGGATGGGAAGAGGAGCAGCCAAGACTAGAACTGGGACCCATAAGAGATGCTGGCACTGCAGGCTGAGGACGAACCTACTGAGCCACTGTGCCAGTCCACAATATGGCGTTTTAATATACATTTACATGGTGAAACGATTACCACAATCAATGTAATTAACATAACCATCACCTCAAAGTTATCCTTTTTGTTGTTCTTATTTTTCAGTATAGCCATAAACTACTAGTCTTAAGAGCATACAACAAGAAGGGCCAGTGCTGTGGTGTAGGGTGTAAAGTCACTGCATGCAGTGCCAGTATCCCTTATGGGCACTGGTTTGAGATCTGGCTGCTCTACTTCCGATCTAGCTCTCTGCTATGGCCTGGGAAAGCAGTAGAGGTCCTTAGGCCCCTGCACACACATGGAGACCCAGAAGAAGCTCCTGGCTCCTGGCTTTGGATCAATGCAGCTCTGCCCACTGCCGCCATTTGGAGAGTGAACCAGCCGATAACTCACACTCACTCACACTCTCTCTCTCTCTCTCTCTCTCTCTCTCTCTCTCTCTGCCTCTCTGTAACTCTGACTTTCAAATAAATAAATCTTTTTTTAAAAAATAAAAAGAGCATAGAACAAGAATGCTTCCACTTCATCGATGCTCCCTGGGCCAATTCGAGATAAATTTGTGTATTAAGAGAATTTTCGTTTTCTACCTTAGAATCACTTTTTATCTGGCTATTTCTCTCCCAATCCCTGCTCCCTATAATCAGTACATTATTGGTCTAATTTATTGATACTGAAATTTGAGAATCAGAATTATCTGGGAAAGTTTTATAAATTTCCACAGCAGTCAGTCCTCTGAGGTGTGCTTATAAATACAAGGTAAGGAAATGCAGTTTATAGAGCTTTCTAGATGATTTTCATCATCAGCCAGGTTTGGGGACTGTAGTGCAATCATACTGAAGAGCCAGTGCTAAAAAGTAGCTTTGGGGTTGGGTATTGTAGTGCCGCTGGTTAAACCTCCACTTGGAATGCCCCCGTCTCGTGTCAGAGTGCCTGGGATGGAGTCCTCTGCCTCAGCTTCCAGTCTAGCTTCCTGCTGATGTGCACCCTAGGAGGCAGCAGATGATGCCGTAAGGACTGGCTCCCTGCCACGCATGTGGGAGATCCAGATGGCGTCCCTCACTCCTGGCTTTGGCTTGGCCCAGCCCCATCTGTTGTGGGCATTTGAGAAGTGAACCAGTAAATGGAAGATCTCTCTTCTCTCTCTCTCCCTCTCCCCTCTACCATTCCCCCCATACTTTTACTCTTTCAAATAAACAAAATAGATAAACTTTTTAAAAAAAGACAAAGGAGCTATAGATACATCCAATTGACATTTCATCATAAAATGTTGGTTGTTCATTGAACATAAAGTTATGGACTGGGAGAAAAGGAATTTGGAAGAAAAAAGTTTCCTAGTCCCAATACAAAGACAATATTAAGTTACGGTGGATTTTCTCTATCATACAAATTGCAAATTCTTGAAATGACAGTAATTTGTTAAACTTAATTTTTTTATTTAAAAGGCAGAGAGACCAGTTCATTCCCCAAATGCCTGAAGAGGCAGGGTTTGGTCAGACCAAAGCCAGGAACCTAGAATTCAATCCAGGTCTCCCAGATGGGTCGCAGGGACTGAAGTACTTGAGTGAGGCACCATCTATTGTCTCCCAGTGTGTACATTAACAAGAAACTGGAATAGAAAGAAGAGCCAGGATTCAAACGCAGACATTTTAATATGGAATGCATGTATCACAAGCTGCATCTGAACCACTTCACCAATGCTCACCTCTGTTTATAAAAAACATTTTAACTGCAGTAGAAACCCTTCCTTCTAATGAAGTCTCTTGGGGAAAAAATACACCAGACAGAACCAATTTTAGCACTCTTCTAGTTGCTGCTGGAGGCCATAGAATGCCCTGTCCATTCAGTATCCCCTTCTTCCTTGTGAAAGCTTGGTAGGGTTTGAATGTGTTTTGTATACTCCTAAACTCTCCTTAGAGTTTAATCCCTCTTGCAAGGCATTGAGCTGGTGGAAATCTAATCTGACTAAGCCACACTTGCCAGACTCAGGGCTGAATGTGAGGATCTGCTCCTCCTGGGTGCTACAGGTGCTCCGCTCCATCCCACCCTCAAGGATTTGCTCTTCTGAAGACTTCTGCTGCCTCCCAGATTCCGTGGACTGCTTTACCTCTCTGTCACTCTACAGTCTCCCATATTTCTTATGTCTCACACTCAGGTGTCCTAAGATCTGACAAGGACAGCCTGTCATCATTCAAAATAGTATCTTTTGGTACAAGGCTCTTGTGTCAAGCCATTTATGGGTTATAAAGCCAACCTATAGACAGAGGTGCCTTTAGGCCGTTGCATGCACTGTCCTATTTTGTTAATGGTGCCAGGGTAATGAGGCCCCATGGATATGAACTATAGTGACATACTTGTAAGAACCACTTTAAATTGCTGTTCTCAAAAGGGAGCAAAAGGTGGCTGGTCCTCAGATTATCATGTTAGTATGTTGGGATATCAGAAGTAAATCAGGGGGCTGGTTCTGTGACCCAGTGGGCTAGGCCTCCACCTGCAGTGCTGGCATCCCATGTGGGTGCCAGTTCTACTCCTGGCTGCTCCTATTCCAATCCAGCTCTCTGCTATGGCCTGGGAAAGCAGCAGAAGATGGCCCAAGTTCTTGGGCCCCTGCATCCACGTGGGAGACCAGGAAGAGGCTCCTGGCTCCTGGCTTCAGATCAGCTCAGCTCGGGCTGTTGCGGCCACCTGGGGAGTGAGCCAGTGGATGGAAGACCCCTCTCTCTGTCTCTTCCTAACTCTACCTCTCAAAGAAATAATTATTTTTAAAAATTAACAAATCAGTCCAAATTAAAACCATAACCTATAGTAACTAATTATAATAAAGTTTTAAGTCTAGAAATATCTGAGCTCATATTAATTAATTTCCAAATGTAAATGAAAGGCTAAAGATGAGAGGAAAAGCATAAATGAGTGATCATGAGCTTCTAAGTGGGCAGAGATTCACTCTGCCTTACGTCAGCATTGTAATATGAGTAGCTTTTAAGCTATGCATTCATTTCAAAAGAGAAATCCCTCCTCATTTATTTCTGCTCTTTCTTACATTAGGCAAATTCAACTATTTTCAAAATGAAGGAAAATGTTTGTGCACACACATTATGCAATACGAAGAATCCTGGGACTCACTGACCACTTCAGTGATTATGAAAACTGTGAACTATTTGTAAAAGCAGATTTTTCACTGTTCTTCATTAAGGTCTGATTACCTCGCCCATTAGCATTTGGCTCCTTTATTATTATGATTGTGAAACACTGTAGATGTCACTACTAATGGATAAAGAAAGTTGACATGGTTATCTTGATTAACTCATCAATAATCATTTGGAACAATTTTTCTTCATTCAGTGAATGGATCGTTCACTTGCCCTATAATAATTATATACATTGAGGTGCAGGAAATTAGCATAAAATTATCTACCCTGGAGACCTAGGTTCTATTTCTAGCACCATAAAAGTTAGTTCAGATTAATGTGTGAAGCCTCTATCAAGTGAGTGAGAAAAAGAAAGATGATACCTTGGCGATTTCTCCATAATTCAATTATCCATATACCCTTTCATTTTCAGGTTCCCACACTGAAAAAAAAGAATAACATTAGAAATGTAACAAGATTCTTAAATCTTCCTTCTTGCTACTTTATTTTTGATAAGGGGGAAATATTAAGCAGCTTTTATAAAGACAAGTAATAGTGACTACATTTAAATAAAAACACTGTACAAATGTACTCTCCATTCTTCTTCCCCCTCTGAAGGAAAATATAAGTGGCTTTTCAAATCCCATTCTCAAAGTGGAGTTGAGATTTTAAGTGAATTTCATATAGTTTGGCACTTACGTCTCAGCTACTGTCAGAACAACTTAGAAACACAAAATCTCAGTTCTAGAATGTTTCTTAGGGATCAACTCATCTAATTAAGATCAAAAAAGTGAAGGGACCAGCATTATTATATAGTGAGTAAAGCTGCCACCTGCGATGCTGGCATCCCACATGCCCAGTGGTTCATGTCCCAGCTGCTCCACTTCCGATTCAACTCTCCCTTGGAAAAGCAGAAGATGACCCAAACGCTTGGGCCCCTGCACCTGTGTGAGACCCAGCTGAAGGTCCTGGCTCCTGGCTCCTGGATTTGACTTGGCCCATTGCTGGCAATTGTGGGCATCTGGGGAGTGAACCAGCACATAGAAGACCTCCCCCACCCCCACCCCCCACTCTTTCAAAATAAATAAATAAATCTTAAAAAAAAGAAAATTGAAAAACTATGTTAATAAACGTTCTTTACTCATTGAACAAGACTGAACCTTTTACCTACATCTTCCGACCTAAGCCCAATAATCACTTTTCAAAACATAAAACACCATTACCACAAATACCCTGGATCTGGCATGAATCCAGACATGAAGAGAGCATGGAAAAAAATGCTTGGGGAGGCAGAAGCTGGCAGATGACTTTTCCCCTGAAATACAGCCAATGGCAATCTCTCCTTAACCAGGCTCAGGAGTTATCTTGATTCTGGTTGGTCTCTGTTCATTAAGTAGGTGGAACTTAATGAATCCAACCACTGTCTCCACTCATAAAAGCCTTGCTGCTGTGGTCCATTCATTTTCAGGCACAGTGAGTGTATCAACCAATGAACATAACCCTACAGGACCCTATTTCTAGTTACCTTCGCAGTCAAAGTTTATCCCAGTTGACTGAAGAAAATGGTAGCCATCCAGAATCACTGGTTAAGTTACTCCATGGACAGGCTGAATGTTCAGGGGAATTTAGTCCCATGGCCAAACTGAGTCTTGGCTTCTTACAGGGCATCTCACTAACAGACTTCCTAGTTTACAGTGAAGAAAAGATGCAAGTGGGCCACTGATTGACAAATAACTTGGAGTTGCATGGCAATTGACATTGGTTTGGGTTATTTCATATATACCAATACCTCTGGGATTTGAAATCTATTGATGAAATTCATAAGTGATGTGCAATAGAAATATAATGTGAAATTTATTTATATATACATATATATATATTAAATTTTCTAGTCACCACATTAAAAATTAACGGGGAGGAGTAGGTAGGTATTTGGCCTAGCAATTAAGCCTCTGGCTGGAATGCCCACATTCCATATCAGTGTGACTGGTCTGAGCTCCGTTCTGCTACCAATTCCAGTTTCCTTCTAATGTGCACCTTGGGAGACAGCAGGTGATGGTTCAAGTAGTTGATTCCTGCTGCCCACATGGAAAACCTGGATTGAGAACCTAGCTCCCAGCTTCTGCCTGGCTCAGCCCCAGTCACTGTGAGCATTTAGGGAGTAAATCAGTGGATGAGAGCCCTCTATCTGCTTCTCAAAAAAAAAAAAAAAAAAAGGAAAAAGTAGGTGAAATTAATTTTAATAATTTTAATAAAGTATTTTATTGAGCCCAATATGTCAAAAACATAACTTTAACATGTAATCAACTTTTTAAAATTATGTTAATTTTTAAGGATTTATTTATTTGAGAGGCAGAGGTACAGAGAGGAAGATAAAGAGAAAGATCTCCCATCCATTGGTTCACTTCTCAAACAGCCACAATAGCTGGGGTTGGGCCAGGACAAAGCTAGGAACCTAGAACTCTGCCCAGGTCTCCTACTTGGGTACAGGGGTCCAAGGACTTGAGCTGTGTTCCTCTGCTTTCCCAGGTATATTAGCAGGGAGCTGGATTGGAAGAGGAGCAGCCCGGACGGAAACCAGCATCCATATGGAATGTCAGTGGTACCATGTCAGCTAAGGCTTAACCCACTGTACCACAATGCTGACCCCCCCAAAATTATTGAGATATATTATTATTCTTTTATTTGAATCAAAGCATCAGAATTCAGTGTAATTTTATATGTTCAAAATGTCTGAATTTATATACTCAGGAATGTATTATCTTATTTAGATTTTGTAAAATGTACAATTAAAAAAATGATTTATGTACTCATTGTTCTGAGCACACTTAAAAGTTTTCTAATCATTAAGTATCTATAAGTCATTTTAATTCAATATTTAAATGCACATTAGCAAAATTATTTTTTTAAAATTTGATTTAAACAAAACTATTATCAATTTCAAAACTGCATCTGAGGGCAAGCATTTGGAACAGTGGTTAAGATGCTGGCTCGGATGCCCTCATTCCATATCAGAGTCCCTGGGTTCAAGTCCTAGGTCTACTTCCAATTGAGTTTCCTGCTAATGTGCACCCTGGCTCAAGTACTTGAATCACTCTCAGCTGGAAGACCCAGATTGAGCTCTGGGCTCCTGGCTTCTGCTTGGCCCAGTGTTGAGTACTGTGGGTCCTTGTAGAATGAAGCAGTAGATGGAAGATATCTCTCTTGGGGCCAGCTCAGTGGTGTAGCAGGTAAAGCTGCCACCTGCAGTGCAGGTATCTCATATAGGCGCTGGTTCAAGTCCTGGCTGCTCCACTTCCAATATAGTTCTCTGCTATGGCCTGGGAAAGCAGTAGAAGATGGCCCAAGTCCTTGGGGCCCTGCACCCATGTGAGAAATCTGGAAGAAGCTCCTAGCTTTGAAATGACTCAGCTCCAGGTATTGCAGCCATCTGGGGAATGAACCAGGGAATGGAAGACTCTCTCTCTGCAACAATTTGCCTTTCAAATAAATAAATAAATCTTAAAAAAAAAAACTCACTCTCCTTTCAAATAAGCAAATAAATAATTACAAATAAATAAAACTAAATCTATCCAAGTTAAGTAAATTCTCTCCTGTGTTCATTCAAGATTAACAAAATTTTAAAACAGGCGGCCAGAATTGTGGTGTAGTAGGTTAAGCAGCTTGCAATGCCAGCATCCCATATGGGTGCTGGTTTGAGTCCCATCTGCTCCGCTTCCAACCCAGCTCCCAGCTAATGTGCCTGGGAAAGCAGCAGAGGACGGCCCAAGTGCTTAGGCACCTGCACCCATGTGAGAGATGTGGTAGAAGCTCCTTACTGGAGCCTCGGCCATTGCAGCTCTTTGTGGAGGGGACCAATGGAGGGAAGATCTCTCTCTTTCTCTCTCTCTTCTTCTTTGTAACTCTGCCTTTCAAATAAATCTTAAAAATAATTTTTGAAGTATTTAATAGATTAAAATATGCTAAATTTATGATTATCAACAAAGTGTCAAAATTTTCCTTGTACTTTTTGCAACCAATGTTGATGAAGATTCTGTATATGAATTTGTGTTGTATAAAATGTGAAATCATTATTAGTTTATATTATGAATATATTCTATCTAGCTAGACCACAAATAGTTTTTTCCTTTCCTTAGGGCTTCAGTTTTAGTTCACTTATATGCACTGTGATATTGCTGAGAAAGTGTATATCACACTGCCATTTTTATCTTTGATAATTGAATATTTAGCAAACATTCTCTTTTGTTTCAAAGGACCAGTAACAATACATTAAGTCTGTAAATCTCTTCCACAACTCAGTCAGTGAGCATTGGCAAAGAACACAGAATCATTACATTCATTGTCTTCTATTTCTTTCAACAGTTCTATAACCTGCCAATGACTCATTGCATTTGCACACATATAGCAAAAGATTTTAACAACTATATCATAACATTTTCATAGCCTTTCATTTACATAAGCAAATAGAGCAAACTTGTATTAATTTATATCACAGGATGGAAACATCAGTAATTTATTTTAAAATTCCAATAACTTTAAATTTTGGAGTATCATCCATCTATCAAAATAAGAAGTGATTTTTTTCAAACTGGCTTAAACTCGTCTTTGAAGATATAAAAGACTCAAAAATATGTACACCATGAGTTTAGTGTTAAGCCACAAATTTATAGCATTTCTTTGTAAATGTAGAAGTTTTTTCAGCCAAAAATATACCTAAAGATTTAATTGGATGGTACCTTTTTTTAAATTTATTTCACAGGTAGAGTTAGACAGTGAGAGAGAGAGACAGACAGAAAGAAAGGTTTTCCATTGGTTCACTCCCCAAAAGACCACAATGGCCGGCGGCCCGCCAATCCGAAGCCAGGAGCCAGGTGCTTCTCCCTGGTCTCTCATATGGGTGCAGAGGCCCAAGCACTTGGGCCATCCTCCACTGCCCTCCCGGGCCACAGCAGAGAGCTGGACTGAAAGAGGAGCAGCCGGGACTAGAACCCAGTGCCCATATGGGATGTGGGCGCCGGAGGCAGAAGATTAACCAAGTGAGCCATGGTGCCGACCCCTGTAGTACCGTCTCATTGCAAGACATTTAAAGCTAAATAAAATTATAATTTTTCAAATTCTGAATAAATTTATCTTTCATATTGTTAAAAGGTCATGTTGACGCAACTGGTGATTTAATTTCTTTAAATTCATAAAATTTTTTTTGTAAAATATTTTTTCAGTCTTTTACCTCATAATTTTCTAACACAAGTTCTATAACTAACATAATAATTTCTCTTACCATCTCTCCTATCTAAATGATGTATGGGGCCAGAGTTTTAGGTTCGAGTCCCATGTCTGCTTCCCATCCAGCTTCCTGCCAATGCACACCCTGATAGCTCAAGTGCTTGGGTCCCTGACACTTACATGAGAGACCCAGATGGAGTCCCTGGTGTCTGACTTCAG